GTCTTAACTATCTTGAGCAGTTTCGTATTGTCTGCAAACTTTGCCACCTCACTGTTTACCCCTTTCTCCAGATCATTTATAAATAAGTTGAATAGGATTGGTCCGAGGACTGACCCTTGGGGAACACCACTAGTTACCCCTCTCCATTCTGAGCATTTACCATTAATTCCTACCCTTTGTTCCCGGTCTTTTAACCAGTTCTCAATCCATGAAAGGACCTTCCCTTTTATCCCTTGACAACTTAATTTACGTAAGAGCCTTGGTGAGGGACCTTGTCAAAGGCTTTCTGGAAATCTAAGTACCCCTTGTCCACATGTTTGTTGACCCCTTCAAAGAACTCTAATAGATTAGTAAGACACGATTTCCCTTTACAGAAACCATGTTGATTATTGCTCAACAGTTTGTTTTTCTGTGTGTCTGACAATTTTATTCTTAACTATTGTTTCGACTAATTTGCCCGGTACCGATGTTAGACTTACCAGTCTGTAATTGCCAGGATCACCTCTAGAGCCCTTTTAAAATATTCGCGTTACATTAGCTAACTTCCAGTCATTGGGTACAGAAGTGTCCCTCTAGGGACACTTCAATCTGTGACAGTTCCTCAGATTTGTCACCTACAAAAGCCGGCTCAGGTTTGGGAATCTCCCTAACATCCTCAGCTGTGAAGACTGAAGCAAAGAATCCATTTAGTTTCTCCGCAAGGACTTTATCATCTTTAATTGCTCCTTTTGTATCTCGATCATCAAGGGGCCCCACTGGTTGTTTAGCAGGCTTCCTGCTTCTGATGTACTTAAAAAAACATTTTGTTATTACCTTTGGAGTTTTTGGCTAGCCGTTCTTCAAACTCCTCTTTGGCTTTTCTTATTACATTCTTGCACTTAATCTGGCAGCGTTTATGCTCCTTTCTATTTGCCTCACTAGGATTTGACTTCCACTTTTTAAAGGAAGTCTTTAAATTTACACTAGCTAGCCTAAGGGCAGTTCTCTTGGCCAGGGAGTATCACATTCTGGACCTGCCTCTGGTCCTCTGCACGTTTCCCTAGCCAGCTCTGGCACATCCCTGCACTGGCTTTATGCCAGCCCAGAATTCCCCCAAACCAGGGGAATCCTCACCTCTCTCACTAGGTCAGCTTTATAGACACTTTGCCTCTTTAGCACTCTCTTTAAATGGTTTTTTATTCAAGTTATCTTTATGGCTAACCCTTATTTGAATTATACAAAGAAGAGTATTGCCAACATAATTTCAGAAGAGCTTTCCATTTTTATTTAATAATTAATTTTTAAAACCGATGTTTATTTCCCACAAGAAGTGGGGATAGTTCTTGTCAGTTGTAGTATGTAGCTGGAGTGAGCAGTATTTCTAGTGGAAGAGAGGAAGGAAGAGATCCATTGTCCGTGTTATTTTGAATATGTCTCTGCAACTAACAGATCTGCTTTTATAATCAGAATCTTAGTCTGATCCCCACAAAACCCACTTACTCTTGAATCCCTGCCTCCCTCACCCCACCCTGGCCTCCTGCCCTGGTCTTCCCCAGTTATCAAGTATCTTATGATTTTCAAACTTTTGTTGTTATCCTTATCAAGTAATTTTAATATGGGAGACACTACAGGGGATATGAGAGTATTGTATAAGTGTAAAGTGTACATCACTAAAACAATTATGAGAGCAGTTTGACAAATTTCAGAGCAGATTACAACAACCCTCCTGCATGTTTTTGAGATGCAACTCAGTTCTTAACATTCCTCATTTCAATTAGACTGTGAAACAGTCTCCTGGGGAAGCAGTGGAAACCTCTTCCCTTGAGACTTTAAAACTAAACTGAACAAAGCTTTTGAGAATATACTGTAGGGAGAAATCTTGCATTATCAGGGAGATTACAGGGACTAACAGGTCTTTTCCATATCTAATTTACATGTTTATTAATTTTCTTCAACCTTAACAGTGTTTTTACTGTAGGAATTTCAAAAACACCTAAGGGAGTTAGGCACGGAGCTCTCAAAGAAAATCAGTAGGAGTTACATGCCTATCTCTCAGGTGCTTTCGCAACCCTAGTCTAAGCAGATAACATAATTCACCATTTTCTTAAAGGATTTAAGGTTCCTTGAGGGAGCAAGTTAGCTTGTCAAATTTTGCTTTTACTACTTATAGGTACTCTTGAATCTATACCCACCCTAAGAAGCTCTTTGTTGTTCATGTATTTCACATTTAATAAGTATTCAGTTGCTTTTATTAAGGACATTATACCCTTTGTGTTTGACATATTAGTACTGTGTCATGATTGCCTCCACATATATTGCAACCAAATCTGGCCTCCGTCTGTTGTTTACCTTCTTGCATTCTGTCTTTCTTCCTTAGCATGTATTTTTTATTCAATGAATTTCAGGGTTTTTTTTTTCTCTTTGCAAACACTTTTAATTTGGGAAGCATAGTTTTCACTAGCTTAGCAACTGCCTGCTGTCTTTTGACAAGTCAAGTTCATTTCTCACAATAGCCTGGTTTTGATATGGTTATTGATTATGCTACAAATAATTCACTCTATAATATAGTACATTAGTTAACTGCAAATAAATTTGATTTATTACGGAGGTTGGTAACATAATGGTCAGTAATCTCACCTGACAGCTAGTTTCTTGTAAAGAAAATATACTTTTCCCATGGATCTAAATATTCTTGACTTTTTTGAAAGACTAACATTTTCAGTTTTCTTCTTGCTCCTACTGGAATATCTTGTAGATGTCATTGCCTCTAGGACTGATGCATGTAGCTGAAATAAAGAGCACAAAATGACACAACCTTATAAGAGCTTACAATATCAGTTCAAAAACACCACTTCAGGCCTTTGCTATGCACAATTTAATGAGTTAGCAGAAAAATCACCATAAGTAGAAAAGAACTTGATTAAAAAACCCACATGGTGCAGTCAAAGGATTCATATTTAGCACTCCTAGAATATCACAATATATTTTTCAATGATTTATGGTGATCACCAATTTAGAGACTTACGAGCAGAAGGACAAAATCCTTAGTACCACCATTTCTATTCTATATAGGTTCTTATACCATGCTCATCATCATAGTCTCTGAGGCCCAGATTCACAGATGTATTTAGGCTCCTAACTTCCATTGAAGTCATGTGTGTGTTTTCTCATGCCCCCCATCCCTCTGGGGAGAAGTGTATGCAGCGGAGTGTTTTGTTTTGGATATTTTTTTATAATATATTTACTTTGCATACAGTGTGTGTGTGTGTGTATATATATACAATAGATAGATATGTTGCTATATGTTTATATTAGAGTGGGTTAAAACCTTGCACTTAGATCAGAAGGTCGTGAGGTTTGGGATGATCCTTAGTTCCCTTGGGAGTTCATTGCATAATCTTGGGCTGGCCCACAAAAAAGTTTTGTTTCCTGTCATCTAACCAGCTTCTTGAGCCAAGGAAAATTAACTCTGAACAGCTGCAAAAAAGTTGTATTCCAGGAAACTGGGACAGAAGAAATACTACACTGAAAATTCCAAATAGTTATTGCAAGTGGAAGAGCATATTAGTTCAAGCAAAGCGTGGTTGGCATTCTGTTACTAAATCATTGACACCAAGGTCGTATGTCATAACCATTGCCCTCAGGGTAAATCTTATAGAAGGAACAGAAGACATGTAAACAAAGCCAAGCAGGACACTGACTGTTTATTGAGGATGTACAGAATGTTACTGATAGATGTAAAACATGTACAGCCAGTAAGTAAAAACACCAAGAGCGTAAACATAGGCTCCAGTTGGCAGATTCACTGCAGCAGCTGAAAAGGGCAAGGCAGAAGGATCTGTTTTGGGAACACGAAGTAAATGTGATCAGAAAGCCATAGAGGTCCAGAGACAATAGTTCTTGACAGATGTCCAATAAAAGACAGAATAACACTTTCATTTGCCAAGGGCATTTAAGTTTTTTTACTTTGACATCCATTGTACATATTTCTATTTGTGTTTTGTTAGTGGATTCTGTTTATTTTTATTATTGTTTTTGGTTGATGTGTTTTATTTGCAATTGATTTAAAAAAATGGGTCCCGCAGGAGAGATGTATTAGCTCTAGTTTATGCAACTTTACTGTGTGTGCAACCTTAATTCACCACCATTGTGCTTATTCATTAGAATACAGTCTTTAATTACATGATCTCATGCAATATATTCCACAGGACCCCTGCCACCTTCAGGGCACAGGATGGATCAGCTCTGGGGATGAATCAGGGCTGCGTAGTAAATGAAGCTGCTGTCTGTAGGACCCCTGCCTCATTTGCTGCAGATGCTGGAAGGCGGGTAGTGAATGAAGTATGGGATTGAAGGATAATCTCAGGGGAAAGGCCATTGTATGCTGTTTTGGAATATCGAATTTCACCCTAGCTCTGCCACAGAGTCACTATATGAGCTAGGAATGACACTTAAACCAAACATTTCACAGGTGGCCATTAATTATTATTGTTCTTCATTTTTCTGGATGCCTGACTTGAGAGCCGGGGTTCTGATCTGCAGAAACGCTGGGCAGTGCCAGCTGTGCTTTAAAGGTAGGGAATGCTATATACTCTGAAAAATCAGGTCCTAGGTGTCTCAAATTCAGCACCCACAAATAGTGGATACTTTTGACCTTAATCTTACTGAGCGAGCATGTAATTAAAGAGGATCATATAACATAAAGGTGAATTATGGGGGATGGTGAATTAGGGCTCTCCAGGGAATCATAATACTAGGCATTTCCTAACTTTGGACTGCTTGACTTTGTACCTCTCACAATGACCCTTTAACACTTTGTGTGTGTGTGTGTGTGGGGGGGGTTCTTAGCGCAGGGCAGCAGCAAAGTTAGGGTAACACCCCAGGGGACATTCACCCCATTTCTCGCAGCAACCCCCAGCCCAGGGAGCTGCAGCCCCATCACTGCAGGGGGCAGAGGAGGAGCCGTGCAGTTGGCTGGGAGCAGGGCAGGGGGTGGTCGCTGGAGGGTACAGGAAGGCGGGGCGAGAGTGGCACCCGCGGGGCGGGAAGGAAGAGGCCGAGCGAGCGGCTGGGTGGGCTGCGTCCCCCCGGCTCCGCAGCACTGAGGAGCTGGAGGTCAGTGAGGCGCCCTCGCTCCTCCCTCGGCTCCGGCCGCTCCTCCCCGCCGCCTTCCAGACCGGCGCTGCGGGGCTCGCCAGCGGCTGGCTCGGTGCCGCGGGGCAGGGGCAGGGGCCGGGGGGTGGAAAGCAGCCAGGCAGCAGGGAGCAAAGAGGATGCAGCCGCCTCCTCCCGCCACCCCGGTGCCGGCTCCTTTAGCCGTGTTGGATCCTACAGGTAAGTCCCGGCGCTGGGCACCGACAGCAGCAGCGGGCGGCCCCGGCCCGTGCCCAGAGGCAGCGGCAATCCCGGGCACCTTCGGGGCTGGGCTGCGGGGCAGAGGGCGGGTAGCTCCGGGCGATGCTCTGAAGTTCTGGGGGCTGCTCGGTTCGCCCGGAGGCGGGGCCCCTGGCAGCTCCCGGGGTTTTGCTGGTGCGCTTCTCAGCTGTGAACACGCTCTGCCTTCGCCTGACCAACAGCTGCTTAACCAGGTTTCGTGCTTTCTCCAACGTGCAGTCAAGCCATGACTTTCCTCCCCTGAGAGAGCTGCAGTGCACATAAATCTACTGGGGGGAAATGAACTGGGAAGGCTTCTCCCCCCCCCAGCTCCCTGTCCCCCAAACCCTGTAGCTGTGCAAGGAGTCTCACGCTGCTCGGAGAGTTGAGACATCACCAGGCTTTTTTTTTTTTTTAATTCGGTTCGAAAACCGTTTTTAAATGTAATTTAGGTAGTTACAGTTACTCTTATGGTTATTCGTTGGTTGTTTAACCAGCCATGGACACAGATGCTAGGACTCACCTATGTAGCTGATACACTGAGAGCAGTAAACTTGTTGAGTATTATTAAAATCTGGATTTGACATTTCTGATTGCAACATTGTGAGGATAGCATGAAAGTACTATTCCCCACCCAATATTGCAAATCTTAATTTTTCACAGGGAAAGATCTGTTCCCTGGTAATCTCTATGGGATACTGATTTGCCTGTTCATTTATAAATGCTTGCACTTGCAATGGAGGAAATAATTTTCTGCTCAGATGAAGCCCAATTGATCACCTTCTTAAATAGCAATCTAAAAACATATCACAGAGTGCCTAACAACTGAAAGAGCAATAAGGAAAGAATGTGGAGATAGGTAATTCAGTTTGACATATAGAGTTTGTCTTTTACAATTTTAGTTAATACTTTTAAGGTTAAAAAAGGAACCTATTCTATGAGATACAATACAGTACTAGGGTTATTGGTGGGTTATAATAATCCCTCTCTACAAATTAACTCATTGTCAAGTGTTAAAATTCTGCTCTTTCTTGTCACTCTCCTTTATCACATTGGTACATTTAAAAACATTTTAAATTTATTTTTTCCATTTAGCTGTTGCATTATTTTCATGGAATCGCTGTAAGGATAATGTAATATAGAAATGGACTTTGTGTATGTATGTAATACATCCTTTTCTCTCTTTGCTGAAAATATCCTTTTCTCTCTTTGCTGAAAATTAACAGTTGCGATGCTTGAGCAGTTTAGAGTGCCAGCAGCTCAGGGTACAGCATTAGTTTTGGCTCTTTTCCACTTACAGATGGTTTATTGCTATGATGGGAGTATACAGTATTCAGTAGTAGAAGCAATTCCACTCAAACTTTTGGCTGGTACCCTTGTAATACCCACATGACAATTGGTTTTACATTTTTACATTACAGTTGTAATTGAATGCCTCATTGTTAAACTAGTCTGTCTCTGAAAAGCTTTGTTTTCTCTTCCTAAATGTGTCCTGGAAAATGCAAATGAAATGTAAAAGAGAGGTTCAATATTTGATTATTCCCCCAAAGTTCCTTAAAGTTAAGATAATCTAGAAAGTATCAGTGGTAGTTCTTTTGTATGTCATTCAGTATGGTATATGGAGACCTTGCCTTTACCCAAACATCAGGACAGCAGTCAAAAAG